CTTATGGGCCTCCAAATTATTAACCCATAATAAAAATTAAAATAAACCATTTAGTGTACCAATGTATATGCATATATATACATATACATATATAGAGGAGCGATCAAATGCAAACCACCCAATTTGCACAAACCGTGCAAACCACCCTCATCCGTCGACTTCATTGTTTAATCTTATGAAATTTTTTCATGAAATTATTTAATCTTGTGAAATTGTTTCATAAATACTTTTTTGATTAAGTTGTTTCATATATGGTTATGAAATTGTTTCATATAATACTTAATGAAATTTTAATGAAACTGTTTCATGTTTTCTCTAAAATTAAAATAATGAATATGATAATATCCGTGATTAACACCCTTCACAAAAAAATGATTAATCAACCTCTCATAATTACAAAAAAAAAATAAACAAAATGAAAAATTATGATTGGTTGAATGAGTTTTGTACGGTTTGTACAAATAACGTGGTTTGCGAAGTATACCTCCTCTACATATACACACACACATATAAACAATAAAAGAGTTAAAATGAGAAATGTAAAAAGAGGTCAGAACCCTTAATCACTTTTAATCTTATGCCGACCCATTAAATGTGCTTCAGGAGGGAATTGATTCGGTGTATCTCGGTGCACGTCATTACTGTTGACATTCCTATATACATATACATACATATGTGTGTGTGTGTGTGTGTGTGTGAGAGAGAGAGAGAGAGAGAGAGAGACTTGGGATCACGTGAGACCAGCCTGTTTTCATGAGACCCGTAAGACCATTTTTTTACAATTGAAACTTCACAACAAAACGTTGTGAAAGTGTTACAACTGAGTATTTGATTATTAAAGCTCGGAGTTGTTTTTGAAAAACAATGGTAAGTAAATCCTTTTTAAAATCACCACCGCCTCATTTTTATTTTGTTTAACATAATGAGATAATTTTATTTATCTCACTGGGATGATATGTGATCTAAAAAAGAAAGTTGATGAAAAGGTTTTACTATTTGTGCTTTTTCGTACAAAGAAAACAGAAGCCAAGGGAGATTTAAAGACAAGTGATTCTACGAAATTATCTGGATAGTTATTATTCATCTCCATAACTACATCTCTTTGTGATTAAGATGAGTTTAAATTTTTATTAACTTTCCTTACTTGGAAACTGGGTATAGAACCATATGGTTCTTTATACAAGTTGTTGATTATAAAACTGTTTTGATGCCATAATTGGTCAAATTGTAGGTTTATTTTTATGATTACATCATGTGTGGAAATAAGGGTGGCATATCAATGAGAGGTATATACTAGGATAAGAGTGGCATATCAAGGAGAAGTGTATACCAGGATAAGGGTGGCATAGTCATCAAGTTATAAAATCTGGATTTTGAATCAAATGTTCATAATTATCTCATCCTTATGATGCGATAATTTGGGGTTGTCGCATATATGTGATGCGATAACTTAGAGCTATCGCATCTGTGTGATGCGATGAAGTGTGGTTATCGCATCTGTATGATGCGAGGAATGAGTTTTGTCGCATCCTTGTGATGTGACAAGTTGATTTATTGTACTTATTGAATGCGACAACTTGAGTTTATTGCATCAGTGTGATGATGCGATRAGKTGTAGTCCTCRCACCAGTGTGTTGCGAGGAAATGATATTGTCTCATCATGTCATGCGAGAAGTTATATGATGCAAGAAGTTTTATAAATGAGGTTCATTATAGCAAAGTGATGTATATTTGTTATTTTACAAATATGAGTTTATAAATGTAATTTGGTGATTATAAATGTGAAACTAATACTATATTGTTCACATCAACACTATTGCATTGATTCACACAATGAAACATCACCTTTGTCTTTCATGTCAACGCCTGTTTGTGTTTGTAGGGGTGCTTATGGGTTGGGTTGATCGGGTTGAATACATTTTAACAACCCAACCCAATGCTTGTGGTTTAAAAAATCTTAACCCAACCCAACCCAAACGAAAGTGCAACCCAACCCAAACCGTACGGGTTGGTCGGGTTGATACTTTTGTACATTAAAATATTGTTCTAACCTTGTATATTTTATTTCTCTACTCATAATTTCTTTTTCATCATCAACCATTTGATACAACTTATCCATACTTCTTACGTATATCACATTCAATTAATTTTCTCAATTTACGTATATATGTTTACAGTTATTGAACTAGAGATGTGAATAAATTGAAAAGATGTGTATATAAATWGTGTACGTGATAGTGTAATTGTTTAGTATATATTAATAAAAATTCAACAATCATATTAAATCCAAGAAATAAATGAATATCGGGTTCATCGGGTTGGGTTGGGTTCAAATAATAGTAACCCAATATCTACGGTTTGAAAATTTTACAACTCGATTAGACATCGGGTAGCTTCAGGTTAAGTTATTTTGCGTTGGGTTGGATTGGGTTGATCGGGTTGATCGGGTTTTTAAACACCCTTACCTGTTTCATATTGTGAAACGATATTGTATTCTTTCGCAATTTAAAACAACACACTTCAGTAACAAATTCACGTGTTGTTCACATAAGTTGCACTAACACCAGAAAACAACACTTCAATCTTCAAATTGACTACACATACCATCTTATATCTTTTTCATCATAGCGACCCATAACGGATCGGACCCAAAAAAAAATTTAAACGGTGGCACCATTTGACCATAAGAAAAAAAAATATAGAATTTTTTTTTCAAACGGTGGCAACCTTTGACTAAGAAAATGACACTAACATGATTTGGACTTGGGTGTGAAGTGGAATAAAAATCTTGCAAACCAACTCTACCAAATAAAACTTGTTCTCATTGTAGTTTCAAAATACATACGATGACACACAACAAATTAATACGGTTGCAACGTTCACGAGACCTAAATTTTTTATAAAGATGATAATTAAGTATTTTGTTAGAACTCAACTATTATCCTAATTATATTTTAGATTTTTTATATTTAATATGAAATGTTTATCTGTAGTTAGTTACACGAATTCAAACATGAAGCTTTAATAAGTTGTGCTTACAAACAGTTTATTTGTAATCTTGAATTTTAAGTAATATACATCAATAAACAGTACTACATGTATAAAGATTGATTTTTAAAAGTTTTATCAAATGTTTTATAATATAGTATAGATAATAATAAATAAAGTTTACAATAATTCCCCTTCTAGATTAAACATAGATGAATGCTAATTATAGCATGTTGGATGAATGAGATATGTTCTCACAATTGGTACTTTCTAATGTTCTCTTTGATAATTATAGTTTATCAATGATGATCAACATTTTATAATAGGAAAAAATCAATACATTTATGGAAAAACAATTATTAGAGTATATGGACGGTTTAGATTGGGTTGTATGAGTTGTACGAATGACACATGTTGTATTTGAAACACCTTATATATATATATATATATATAGAGAGAGAGAGAGAGAGAGAGAGAGAGAGTTTGTTTCAAATGCAATCCATCACATTTTTACAACCAATGCAACCCTGTACAACCAATGCAACCCAATAAATTAAAATATTTATGAAAATGATGAGAGTTCATTTATTATGATTTAAATATTTATGAAAAATGAATAAGATTCATTAATTATGACCAGTACTTTATAGTAGGAAACAATCAAAACTTTATAAAATTACATATTTATCAAATTAAATCGACGGTTGAGATTGGGTTGTATTGGTTGTAAAAATGTAAAAGGTTGTATAATAACCCACATCTCTCTCTTTCTCTCTCTCTCTCTCTCTCTATATATATATATATACATACACATACACACACACATATATATATATATATAGATATAGATTTAATTATTTGAGAAATCTAAAATTTGTGAGACCCGTGAAACTTCTACCTTAAGGCTTTGTTTAATTAACATGATTTTTTTCCTACTATGTATAGTATTTAATATATTGATTAACATATATTTGTTTCATAATGTGTTTGTTTCATATGTTTTCGGTTCACAATGTGAAACTTTTTTACGTGTATGTTTTATTTCCACAAACACGTCAAAAAGTTCACATTATGAACCGAGTATATGTGAATTATACACATTGTGGAACAAATATATGTTAATCAATATTCTAAATCATAGTCCTAAACAAAAAAAAAAAAGAAATCATATGAAATAGCATATGATGCACTCGTTCTCAAAATTATCACAATTTCATAGGTTCTTAAACACTAGTAGAAAAAAAGGTATTAACGATAAAAATTAGTGACAGAAATATCCGTCACTAATTAGCGACGGTTTAGCGATGGAATAAATAAGAATTAAGGAATAAATGGAATTATTTTTCAAGACCTTTACATTTTAAGTGGTTTCAATTGATTTTCATCGCGTATGTATGATTTATGTTCTTCTCTATGGTTGATATGCATCAAATATGTCAATGGACCCAAATTGTCAATAAACCAAAGTTGGGGGGTTGTAACTGCAAAGTTTGGTCTTTAAAAAGCGGGTGGTGCTTCCCTCCAACAACACATTGCTCTCTTCCCACACCCTCCTTCCATCAAATAACACGTGAGTTTAACCGTTTATCGATATCTTCTCCGATCAGTCGAGTTTAACTGTTACTGTCTGTAGTTTATAACTCTGCTTCGTTTAATTTACGTCTATTGATTCATAGGAGTCATTTTGACCGCTCATGAAAACGTAGAGCAATTACTTTGTTCTTTAGTTTATATACTTCTCTCGATTTAATTGAGGAATTATTATGTGTATGTACGTACTACATGTATTTATCTATACCGTCAAATGCACACTACAACATAATTGAGTTTATAAGACACCCCCAGTCTTTAATTAAGCATCCCAATAGACCGATTTATAAAACCAATAATTAATATTATTATTATTTCTAAAATATGTATATTATATATATATATATATATATATATATTATCAATAATTAATTGAAAATAACCAATACGTTATTGAATATCTATTAATGTTTCAGTGAAACATGCGTACCTCAATCAAAGCAAACGTGCTTGCCTTGTTCTTGTTTTATCTTCTATCACCTACTGTATTTTCGGTCTCCCATGACGGATTGATTCGAATTGGACTTAAAAAGAGGAAGGTGGACCGAATCGACCAACTTCGTGGACGTCGTGCGTTAATCGAAGGAAATGCTCGAAAAGATTTCGGCTTCCGTGGTACGGTTAGGGACTCGGGCAGTGCCGTTGTTGCACTAACGAACGATAGGGATACTTCGTATTATGGTGAGATTGGTATCGGAACTCCACCTCAGAAGTTCACAGTGATTTTCGATACCGGAAGTTCTGTTCTATGGGTGCCTTCTTCAAAGTGCTACAATTCAGTTAAGTTTTCGATCTATTTACCAGTTGTTTTACTAAAATAGAATAGCTGTTGAATTTATATACAGTTTCAATCATGTGCAGAAAGCTTGTCGTGCGCACTCAATGTATGAGTCGAGCGGTTCAAGTACCTACAAGGAAAATGGTACGGTCTCGTGTGATTGTTTATCAAGTTGTTAAAAGTGCTATTTACGAATTGTTGACATGCCAAGTAGCATTTTGGTTAAATTGCTGCTTTATGAATATTATATTTATAAAAAGGTTATTAATTGGTATCGTATTTCATCAAGGGACATTTGGCGCTATTATATATGGAACCGGATCAATCACTGGTTTTTTTAGCCAAGACTCTGTCACGATCGGTGATCTTGTTGTTAAAGAGCAGGTAAACCATGAGGGCTGTGACGTAGTAGTTGAGGCTTAACAGATGTGGTGGAATATCTCATCTGCTCTGGATTCAATTCTAGGCGTCCACAACAATTGTTGCCACTGGGGCTGATTTCTTACGGTCATAATTTGCCGGGACTAGTCTGGACATAGCCTGAAAATCCTTTCAGAAAAAAAAGTTAAAGAATCACTATAACAAAATCGGGTTTATAGGACACTCCCAAATTCTAAGTGTCCTAATATACTTCTTTATAAAGTGTCCAAATTCGTCGTAATAAGTTTTTTACGACATTTTTTTAATATAAAGCATCCCTTTATCAACTTTATAGGATACTATTTGAAAAATTGTCCTATAAAAACAAATGTCCTATAAAAAATTGAGTTTATAGGTCACTTTCTCAAAAATGTCCTATAAAGTTGCTAATGCGACACTTTGTATTAAAGATGTCCTAAAAAACTTGTTAAGACGCCCAAAATCGTCATATAAACTTATTACATCACCTTTAGATCGGGTATTTTATATTTTGGTCCAATAAATTAATTCCTATAAAACGGTCTATTGGGACGCTTAAATTTTGGAATTGTCCTATAAACCTAATTTTATTGTAGTGAATTGTGGTTTTGGATGTATCGAGTTCAACGTTCTCATCACGACTCTCCCTCCTTGTGATGTTTCACTTTCTTCAGGATTTTATAGAGGCAACCGATGAGACCGACAATGTTTTCTTGCATAGGTTGTTTGACGGTATACTCGGCCTTTCGTTTCAAACGATCTCCGTTCCTGTCTGGTACTTTACTCGCCTCTAGTTACCGCACTGGTTTATGTTTCATACCTTTTTTTGTGTTTTTTTGGGTAACCGTGGGTAAGGTTGCTCAAAAATCCGACCAACCCGATCAACCCAACCCAACGTGAAATAACCCAACCCGAAGCAACCCGATGGTTAATCAAGTGGTAAAATTGTCAAACCATAGGTATTGGGTTGATATTGGGTTACTATTATTTGAACCCAACCAAACACGATGAACCCGATATTCTTTTATTTCTATGATTTAATATGATTGTTGAATTTCTATTAATATATATATTAGACAATTACACTATCATGTATATTTTTCATATATACATATTTTCAATCTATTCATATCTCTATATAACTCATTCATATATATGTTCAGTAACTGTGAACATAAATATATATATAAATTGAGAAAATTAACTGAATGTGATATACGTAAGAAATATGGATAAGTTGTATCAAATGCTTGATGATGAAAAAGAAATTATGAGTAGAGAAATAACATATCCAAGGTTAGAGGAATATTTTAATATACCAAAGTATCAACCCGACCAACCCGTACGGGTTGGGTTGGGTTAAGATTTTTCCACACCGCAAGCATTGGGTTGAGTTGTTCAAATGTCTTCAACCCGATCAACCCAACCCATGAGCACCGCTAACCGTGGGTTTGTGGGGTGGCTCACGCATACCAACTAACCCCTGGAATGGCCTAGAGTCTTCACATATGAACCTCCATGGCCATAACGGCTAATACATGCCCCGAGCTTGAGCCACAACGCAAGTGGGTTAGTGAAATGGCTTGTAAACTGAGATATCTGCACATATTATAGGTACAACATGCTTAATCAAGGTCTTGTTAAAGAACGGAGGTTTTCCTTTTGGTTGAATSGCAATGTTGATGAGGAAGAAGGTGGCGAACTCGTGTTTGGTGGGCTTGACCCTAATCATTTTAGGGGTGACCACACTTATGTCCCTGTGACTTATCAGTACTATTGGCAGGTTGGTTA